GACTATTTCCACATAGCTTTGCATAGAGGTTAATGTTCTTAATACGATGTTATTACGACACACAACTTTCGAATTCGTGACATTTTTTCCCCTTTTTCTTTTAACTACTCAGTTTCCAACGATTCCGTCATACTTCTACATTGTATCCCGATCGTGTGTTTCGGTAGTTATTTATAGATTTCTGTCTATTTTTATTTTGATTTAAATATTGTTATTGCGACACGCAAATTTCGAATGCGAGTTATCACTTCCTTAAGAACTTTAAAAAGAAATTCTGTTACTCATTCAAAAAAAATCTTGAGTTTTTCTGGACTTTCATTACCCTTTTTAAAATCTAAGACTCTCGTGATTGGTACACACGGAATTCTTTATGTGTCAAAAAGGAGATTATTATTATCACTATTTTTTAAAATTACTGATTTTAAATAAAAAAGATTACTCTAAGAATATAGGATTAATTCAGAGAAAGTTAATCATTATTTACTAGAACAGAGTGATCAAAGAGCAAAAATACTTATCACTAAAATCAAATGGAAAGAAGATTTTTTTTCCAACCCAGATATTATATCACTTGGAGGAGTGAATTTATTATTAAATATTTTATTAAAAATGACTATGCAAAAGGAAATCAATGAAACAGATAAAAAGAACAAAAAATCTTTAAAAAATACTAAATATAATAAATAAATCTTTTCGGAACACCAAAAATGTAAGAACATTTTTAGATCCAAAAACTATAAATGATAGTGTTTGTTTATTTCATTACAAAAGTAGTATTAAAAGCACAACTTTTATACTTACCTCTCCAATTTGGAGCTTATTAACATCATCTTCGGGCCAATATGGAAAACACTTCTCACTCCCTTCTTCCTAAATATTTTAAACACATTTTATACCAGGAATTTTTTTATATACATAAACATAATTTTTTTTCATTCTACTATAGCTATAAAACTGAACAAATTTGTAACAGATAGATTATAATTTGTTTTGTCATCATTTTGTTTTCAAATTTTCAGGGGTCATTGTGAGCCCAAGTAAAAAATCCTGCAAATTTCTTGAGTAAAATCATTATTGACCCATTTCAAAAAATTAATGTCTTTAAAAATTTTAATCATTGATATTTTCAAAACATGAAATTCTAAATAAATTGTATGCAGCTAAATATAAATTCACTTTTGTCTATAATCACATTTATTATTCTACCAACAAATTTTTACAAATGAAAGAAATGCCAAGCATAAATTCTAGTTCTAATATTTTTAAATAAAATATACAAGAATTCTAAACATAAATGTGATCAATGATTTCTTTAAACTTTTGGATTTCCGGAAATCCGAATTTTTCTGGACCACAATCATCTCTGAATTTTATATAGTAATTAGGAATAATGAAACTAAAAATGACATCATTATTAAATAAACAAACTGTATAACTAAATAGTGCTTATAAAAAGTTTATTGATAAAAATTCTTGATTTAATTTATGTTTAAAGGAAATATGCTTTCAAAAATATTTTCAATACCAGATTTTTTCAAACTCTCTCTTTTTTAAAAAATTTCTTATAATTAATTTTTATAACAAATTTAATAAGTAAACTATGTTTTGAGTTTATTTAAGCCCTATATACTACTAAACAAGTTTCTTACTTGAACATCTGTTAGCATGACAATAACCATGACATGATCTTCCCATACCATTTGCCAGAAGCTGTATTGGGAAGAGGACCCTGGGCAGCTATATAGAAACTTTGCATGGATCCTATGGACACCTACCTTTACAAGTATTTCGATTTTAAAACTCTAGTCACAAGTTAATAATTAGTTATATATTTATGACAGTTTCAAGCTAAACGGGAGATAAAGTTAATAGTTATATGCTTGAGGATAAAATGTAAAAATTTTTGCTCTTTTCTTATGAAACAGCTATAATATGCAATTACTCAAATATATCCATAACTAAAAATTGTAAGCTTTTTATTCAACAACTAAAAATACAGCAAATTTTAATCAGGGAAAAATAAACATTTGGTAAATAGAGGTTTGTTAATCAGTGTTCAACTGTAACTACTTGACTGTCCTGGATAGTTTGTAATAAAATTTGCCTTATTAATTACATTTTACTTTGAATCATTATCTTGTTCTTAACTCTTTATTGATTATATCTAGTGTCTTTATTAAGGTTTATGAAAAATACCAAGTATGGTGTACAAAGCGGAGATTTCTGTATTGTGATCTGTGGCAGAATAATTGCCAAGTTTTGGCAACTTCCAGGCAGAGGCCCAGTGAGAACCTAAAAAAAACAAATTACAGAAAGGGATCAACTCAAAATGTATAACTCGCAGCCAACCCCGGGCACACTTTTACATGTTTTTTTCTTAAAAATTTGCAAATTTAAAATCCATTTGGCAATTGTAGTTGGCGGGACAAATCCCGATACGTAAATATCCCTTGTACAAAATGCTTTTTAACATCCTGTTATAAAGTTTTTTCATTTATGAAAACTTCTTTAAACTAATCCTTCGTTTTCATACATATTTTTTGTTGTCTAATATAGATAAATATGGGATTAATATTGCTGACTAGATTCAACATATTGAAGTTTTGCTATTCTGGAAAATTTAAACATGCCATGCAATTCAAGTTAGTATTGATAATATATTCAATAAAGGAAAAAAAATATATATATATATTCAATAGTATTAAGTATTGTTGTACATTTATAATTATTATGTTAATATTTATTGTGATATGGAAGGTTTAGCTTGCTTACAGGATAATGATATGTTGTANTATTGTGATATGGAAAGTTTAGCTTGCTTACAGGATATTGATATGTTGTAAAAGAGCTGGGCAGTGGGCAGTCGGTCATTGAGATATTTGACTTGAACTAAAATTTTCTTAAATCCTAAAAAAGTATTATGTACTAAGTAAACATTAATTACAAACTATATTTCTATTTTTTTTTTATTTACAATTAGGATTAAAGTTATTTCATATTTTGTTACATTATTAATTTTATTTTTTTATGCTAAATAATTTTAATTTAAATAATATTGTTTGTTAATTATTAAATGTAAGAAATTAATTTCTTGATAAGCTATAATTTAAGTAATTGTAATGTGAATTCAAGCAATATTTTTGTTTACATAATTATAATTATTTGCTAAATTTATTATCATAAGATTAAACATTTCTTTTCCCTCTTTGAACCAATTAGATCTGATTAAAGTTCCAAGAAAATACTGATTTTGATTAATTCTATTTTTTCTCACTTTTCTGTTTCTGCAAATTTAAAAAAAAAAATCTTTTTACTCATTCTTCTATAAAGAAACGAATGTCAATGCAATCTGAGTTATTTGGAAGCCTTTTATGTGCTGGTTTCATAACACCGCTTAATGTTTCTGTGGTTTGTTGTGCTAGTCCACATTCAAGATTAGTCAACTTGAATAGTTTAGAAAATTTACATCAAGGAGCCAAGTTTGATTGGCAGAAGTTTTATGCAATTATCAAGCGTGAAGTTTGGTATATTTTAATATTCTCTTTTACCGAATTTAGATTGTTAAATCAAATTTAGTTATTTTCAGTTATGGATTAAAGTATCTCACTAATTCAATGTTCTAGAAATCTCACAAATTGCATAAGTCTGTAAAATTTATTTACATGATTTTTTTAAAATTTTTTATTTTATTAAAAAAGTTTATATTAAATATGTGAAGGGAATTTTTTTAATATTTTTCAGTACATGAAAAGAGGATGAGTAAATGAAGGAATAACGAAATACATTTAGTTTTTTAAAAATCTTTGATTTTTTTTCCTACATAAAGCATTGCATACCCAATCCCAATATACCAGAAGTTTTTACAATTCTTTTAAGACCAAGTATTTGATACTGAAATAACACTTTCACAAACATCTGCTTTCCCAATATATTACATTGAACTGATACATTTTATATAATTATGAGGAATATTGATAAAAACAATTGTATTGACTGAGCCTTAGTATTCAGTGTGCCACAAAAAGACCGCCCTTAATAACTTTTGCTCTAATGATTGTATCTTGTATGACTTCTTAAAAATTCGATTTCTCAAGAACTATTCAATTGATTTTGCCCAAACTTTGTATTTTGCCAAGTGAAATTACATACTTTAAAATGACGTAAAAAATTGTATACCTTACCATTCAGAAATTTTTCGATATCCATTTAATAAAATAATAAATCTTTACATTTTTTTTCTCCATTGAATTATTTTTAGAGAAACGAATTATATAATTGTGTGCTAAATTTTTTCAATTGATCTGAGATATGGCAAAATACTCAAAAATTAAAATCAACATTAAGGGGTCGAAAGTTTGGATCTCTCTCCTGATCCAGGGTTGCCACAGGCGACTAAAATGCAACTATTTGCAACTATTTTGGGCATGAGGCGACTATGGCAACTTCTTTTGCCTGAAAAGGCTATAAAAGTAACTATTTTCAGAAAAAGGAGACTGTTGGGAGACTTTTCTGTACTCCTAGCGATTTTTTTAAAGCTTTAATTGGGTGGAAAATCTGCACCCCACAAGATCGTTTCTGAACACACTGAACTTTATTTTCTTAAAAAATAAAATGTTTTTAAAATTTTGAATTGCAAATTTGAGTCTTCACTTTTTAATTCGTTCAATTCCATTGTAAGTCTATTTCGTTTCTCGGTCGCCTTTTCAATGATTATTGCTATGAAATTCTGCATGATTTTTAAAAGAATTTTTTTTTTTTAATACGATAATGTGATGCGTGAATTTCAAATTTGAGCAATCACTTTTCATACACACACACATATATATATAAACATTTACGTTTAGATAAATATTATCACATGTGCCACCAACTTGACTGAATGGATCATGGTATATGAAAATTAAGTCATTAACAAAATTTTAGTCATATTTTTGATGATTTTTTGTTCTTATTTAGGCAACTATTTTCCTAGTTTTTGGCTTACTATTTTCATGTTTCAGGCTACTAAAAGCAACTATTTTGTTCATTTTTTTCTGTGGCAACCCTGTGATCAAACCATTGGGAATATATCACTCCTATTGCATCTTCCTCCTATATTTTAGATGTCAGAAATCTGAATCCGTCGAAAAAAGGTATGTTTATTCTGAGAAAGTACATTTTTGTGTTGCAACTTAAAATATCGTCTGCACTTATTAATTAGCATTATTTGAGGTCGCTCTCTCGAACTATTGAGAGTGAGTCCTAAAACGTGAAGATCCAATCATTAAATCAAAAGTTGTTCCGAGTGATCCGTTTTTTTTTGTTTTATTTTGCCACACTGCACATCTTTTATCCACTTACTCATTCAAATAACCAAATAAAAAATTCAATATTCTAAATTCGCTTGACTATTATAATGACATGTTTTGAGTTGTTAGTTTTGAAAAAAAAGTATTAAAAAAACTCTTTATTCTGTTTAATTTTTTAAATATTCTTACTCTGCTTTATTTTTTATTCTGCTTTTCGTAATAGTTATTTATTGGGTTTTCTTGTTTTTAATGTATGCATGTATACAAATTCCCATAACTGTTACAAATGTTGTTTTTGACACTTTAATAATTGCTTGTATTATTACTTGATTAAAAAACTTCATAGGCTTAAAATATACTGATCAAAAATAACAAACAACAAATTTCAAGCACTCAAAAATGGGTGCCCATTTTCAAGACTTTCTAGATGTGAATGAGAAGGAACAGAGGTGATTTGAAATGTAAAACATAATATTACATACGAAAATTGAATGCAATTTAAGTAAAACGTAAAGTTGTTTCCTTGACAACTGAAAATTTTATATATCAAATCACTTTCGTTTCTCCTCATTCAAATCTGGCAAGTCTTGAAAATAGGGGCCTATTTTTGAGCACTTGAAATAATGTTGGCTGTTATTCCCAACGTGTATATTTTTGAGGCGACTGAAGTTTTTTAATCGAGTAATATCTTACTGCTTCAATTTATTAGGATTATTTATTTAATACTTTTATTATTACTGTTCTGATTTTAATTTAAATTTCTTAAAAATAATGACAATATCAGCATTTTTGTATATTGCAAATTATCTCATAATTTAGTGACATAATAGGATTTTTATGTAATTCCTTCTCCACCTGACCCCACGCCAATGCCCTGGAGAGGAGATACATTTATTGGCAACAATTTCAATTGTTTTTAATGACATAATTAAAAGTTTCAAAATTTGTAACTTTATTTTGAATAATTTTTTTTACCACATTTAAAATATACGCTCTATCAACATTTGACTTATTCAAACTTTATATACATACTACAGTATTATAAATATATTATTATTTTATATTATCATTTCAGTTCCCTTTGCTTTCTAAAAATAACATACTTTGAGTCACAAATAACTTCTTTATGGCTCAGTATTTAAGCTATTATCAATATTAATTTAATAAGTTTTTTTTGTTGCTACTTTGTTACTGTATTTTGTAAAGGATATTTCTATAATTATGATTTTCATTTTTCCAAAATTTAAATATCTATAATAATTCATAAATTTTATTTGATTTTTTTTTTCTCAGAGTGCTCTTGTAGTTGCTATATTGAATATCCATATTCCAATTGCATTGGGTGCATTTCAATGAAGTTAGAAAATTAAACAGCACATTAGGAGTAGTCTATTTCAAGGACTTGCTAATTTAGCTCTATATGGTTTGATATTTTTTTTTTATTTGTACTGAAACTTTTTTATATGTTTAATTTTTGAAATTTTATTTTTATGGTGCTTATAATAAGAATTTGCTATTTTTTTTTTCAAATTTGTTAAAGGAAATATTGCAAATGCCTTATTTATTTTGTAATTTAAACTTAGAATTTGCAGAATATGAAAAGCTTTGGTTAATTACGCAGTTTCATGCATTTCTGAATAAATTTTATTAAGTTTCAACTGATTATTTGTGTTTATTTTTTTGTGATCAAGCTTGTTAAAATGCAATTGTTCTGCAAATGTTGTACTTATTTTATAATTGTAACTCAGTGTACAAAATATGAATTATGACAAAGGGCACGTTTCAGAATAATTGTATTATGTTTCATAATATCATTATTTATTTATTGTGATTAAATTTTTCAAAATGCTATAATATCAAAATAAATATTTCATTATATAATTTCAAAAATAGGAAATATTTTGATTGGTTTAAGGCAATGTTGATACATTCCAGAGTTATTCTTTTCTAAAAACGTGGAAAACAAGCTATTTTATCTTCTTTTATTTTGTCAAAAATACTAAATCTGACTCTTTTATTAATAACTCAATTTCTAAAAATCAACAATTTCTCCTGATGAGTTTGCCATTTCAAAGCTTAGCAAAAAATATATTATTGTGTTTACTTAATTAAGTTAAGCAGCAATCATTCACAATAATTTTAAATGCTTGAAAATTTTATTCCAATATTTAAAAATAGTTTCCTTTCTTTTAGTATCCATGTATAATGGCACTAAAATTAAATTTTAAAAAATGAAGGGAAATTATTACTTTTATGTTCAATCAAATTAGTAATACAGACACTGTATTGTTTTTTTTTTCTCTTGTAAAAAGAAGTAAATTAAGGGGGTTCGGTACCTCCTATGTTGACAATATTAAAATGGCATACTTCGATGTACCTTTTTATAAAAAGTATCGTAGTTAGAGCTTTGAAATTTTTTTTGTGTATGTAATAGATATTCTAGATTATACTGAAGTGAACTTTTTTTAATTTAGTGAATTAAAAGAAATTAAAAAAAAAAAATTACACAGCATGTCAGAAAATTTTAAAAGCTTCACATTTTCATCCGAAAATTTTGAATTAAAAAAAAATATTAAGTTTCTCTTAAAAAACTGCTCACTTCAGCACAAACTACAGTACTAAAGGAACTTTTTAAATCAAATATCAAAGTGTTGTGATCAATAGTTTTCAAGAAAAGGTACATCGAAGCAAAAAAAACATAGTTTTGAGTTATTTGCATTTAAAGCGTAAATATTAGACTACCAACAATATTTAAAATTTAAATTCAAAAATCAAATTGTTTCTAAGTTATAAATCTCGTACTGCTTACATTTCAAACAAATTACTCTTAAATGTTTCTTTTATTTGATTGAAAAATAGGTTTTTATACTATACTCTCCTCACTTTTCGAGCGAATAAAAAGCCCTTAAAATGATCAAACTGAATGCGATAATTATAAAATTGTATAATTCATAAATCACCCATAAATTTTATTCATGAAAATTGAATATTCAAGTCTTTACCAAGATGTTTTGTTTAAATTTAAATGAGTTAAAAGTATTTTTGTTAAAAAAAATAACTATATTACAAAAAAAATCTAAGAAAATGCATATTTCAAGATAAACATTCTAAACACAGAAATAATTAACAAAGAACTGTAAATAAGAATTTACTTCAAAATTAGAAATATTATGTAAAGAACATTTAAACAAAAAATCAAAATGATGTAACTAGAAATTAGGGAGAAAAAAAAATCCGGTCCAAGGTAAATTCGAATAATGTAAACGAAATTCCTAATCTATGCCGGTAATGACAGCTTCAAAACAATCCTGGTCCATAAGCAATGTTTTTTTTGCATTTCAGTACTTTATTTTCTTCTCTTTTACGTAAGTAAACAAAAACGTAATGAAGAATAAAAAAAACGTAAAAATAATGACCTAATAACAGTATAATAAAAGAACAAAACAAAAATAGACTTAACAAATCAAACTAATGTAAATCTCAGTTTTATATTCAAAATTCTCGAAAATCGCATGGAAATAAAGAACAAACAAATAATCCAGTTAAAGTTACAATCAACTAAAGATATTGTAAAGTTGAAATTATAAATAATTTTTTAATGACTTGGTAATAGCACATGCAAAAAATAATGGACATTATAATGTTTACGAAATCGTCTGTCAAAAGTGGGCGTGGCATGGGTGTTTTCGGTTTGTTTACATTTTTTAAATTAAGTTTAAGTGCACTTCTACGTGGATTTCAAACAAAAGCAATATATCGTTAGAAAGCTAATAGTTTCTAGTTTAATTATTGATCAAAATCTCAAATTCGATTTTTTGAAAGTTTTTAGGTACTGAACCCCCTTAAAATCGAACTAAACATTCTAATAATGATCTGAATTGAAGTGATGCTAATGTTTTAAGAAAAATTATTAAAAATAATCCTTTTATTTAAATTCTTCAATTTTAAATTTAATTTAAGGCTTAATTTTGTTGCTTATATTGGGCGAATTTTTTTTGCCTTTTATTTAGTGGAAAAGTAGAGAATTTGTGTATGATTTTATTCGAGCAGTTAAAGTTTTAATGTTATAAATCTAATTTTCTTGTAGATTTAACAAAAGTGTAACTTTTTGGAACTCAATTAGTTGACAATGTCTTGAAAAAGGGAAATGAAATTTTAATGCACCAGTTTATTTGGTGTTTTCAGAGTGGATACTATTTTTAAAGAACTGAAAATATTAAAATAACATCAATATATTGTGTTAATTGCCCTATTATATGTACAAATTAAAATGTGAAATATTTATATTGTTCAAAATCTAAGTTTTAAAATATTTTATTTTAATTAATACTTATTTTTCTTTTTTACTTTTTGGGCAAAATCAGAATGATGTTGCTAAATTAATGTGTTTGTACATTACATAATTCAACAATTGCTAATTTTCATATTTGCATAACATGTAATTTTACATCCCCAAAAATTTATTTCTGGTTCTTAAGATCTTCAATAAATAGGAAAAATAAAATAGATCTCATGATTATAACTAACTTTCCCACATTAATAAATATAGTGCAAATGCAATACTGCATACACGTAAAAGTTCTGACAAAATACTGCAATGTTATATTTTTCTTAGCTTGTTGAAATTTCATTATAGTTTCAAATAGCTGATAAACTGAAAAACAGATATTTTGTCAGCAGAAAATCACATTTTACTTTATTCAGAATTATTTTGGTTATTGTAAATAACCTGAAAGCTTACGCAAATATGCAAAAAAATATGCACAATTGGAACTAGTAGATTCTATTATTATTTTAAAATAAATATAATTTTATATAAAGTTGTGGCCTTTATAAATTATTTTATATTATAAGTGAATATTACTTTTTTATAAATTAATAACCAGAATCTTTAAGTAGTGATTAAAATACATTGAATTTTTATTTATTAGGTATTGTGTTGGGTGTTTTGTTGAGGCAATACTTAGTACAATTGCTATTGTCTTGTGTAAATTATATTAAAATCTCAATAATCTGATATTTACAGAAATTATTCTTCTCTAAATGAAACTAATTATATAAAAAAAATTGACAGAAAAACCAAAAATTAAAAAATGAAAGACATTTATTTATCTGCTTTTGTTTTGTACTTACCATGCATTTATCATAGTTGAATTAAACTTAAAAAAAAAAAAATCCAGGTTTAGCAATATATTTTACTTAATTTGATAAATTGTTTATAATTTTTTAAGCAATTCTGAGCTGCATTTTTATATATGTTTTTTATTATGACTATCATTTTGTGCTTCTATAACCATATTTTAAAAATACACTAAGAGTAAGAATAGGTTGGTCATTAATATGCATGCTGCTTCAGTAATCAGATCAGTAATTGTAGGAAGGATTTCACATGAAAATTTAGTAGAGAGAGGAAATCTTTTGATTTACAACGTAACTAAGTTAGGAGAATTTTTTTAAGGTCCTTGAAAGTCTTTTTTCTTTGTATAGAATGAATTTTTCTACAATAACAGGTTGATTCATATTTATTGCAGCTTACCTAATCAAATGGAAAACTTGCTTGTAAATATAATTGAAAGTTTACTTGAATATTTTCTAGTCTTAAAAAATGAACTAGGTTAAAAAATAATACCAGATACAGGGCCCTCACTAAGCATTCATTACCTCACTAAATGCAATAAAATTGTAAATTCGGCAAACCAAATAGTGTTTTGGTAAAAGTATTGGCGAACAATTTTTTCTGCCTAAATATATATATCTTCCTTGATGTTGAAAAGTGCATCAAAATGAATTTTTCTAAACAAATCTTGTATTTTTTTTATTTAATTACATTTATTTTCCTTAGATATGTTGCATAACTAATTAGAGCTATATTGCTTGAAACTTTTTATTTGAAATGAAATATATTAATTTAAAAGATAGTCGGAATAAATAAAAATATCATATGCTGCTTCAGGTTTATCTTTATATTACTGCTCCAGTCTAAGAAGCTATCAAAAATTTACCCAAACATATTCTTATTTTTCCCCCTCAAGGACAATAAAACATTTTTGATCCTATCCCCAATTCATTGTTCATTTATTCCTACTCAACTGTAAAATGACTTTTCAATTGAATTTGCATTTTTAAGGAAGTTCAATTTATAGTAACAATTTATATAGTTCAATTTATAGTAGTTATTATTTGTATTTTAACTTAGTTTTCCATGGGGAAAAAAATTAATCATTAAAAATTGTTAAAGTTTGCTTTTGGCTAAGACTTTTGAAATTTGGCTAACACTTTTGATATTTGGATAATTTACTGGCTGGTAATTTGATATTCTTAGTGCAGGCCTTAGAGATAGTATTATTTACTTAGCAATAATAGGGTATACCATAAATGTTAGGATATTTAGTATTAATTTCATTAGTGAGTAATAATTAAACTATCACTTTTTAAGTTCTTTGATAAGACATCAAATTTCTTTTATTTGCTGTGATGTTGGATAATTGAGATTTAAAATTGAACTTATGATATTTAGATTGGATCTTAAATTATTACTGACTATTAGGTTATGAAGTTATACTGTAGTAATACTTGCTGCTGATACACAATTGGTTTGCTTATGCAAGATAGTTGCAGTTATTTTTTAACTAAGCATGCATTTAGATTTCTTATAATTGATTTCAAAAAAAAAAAGTTAGTATCTATCAGTTTATATATGTTATGTATGATTAATATGATGCTGAAAATATATCTTCTTGTCTGATACATGATTAGTTTTTTTTATTATTAAAATTTTAATAAGGAGTTTATTTTTCTATTTGGAAAGAATTCACTTCATTCTAAGAATCCTAATTTCGAATTTTTTTTTTTCAGATTCAATTATCTCATGAAAATTTCATTTTTATGTGAAAGTCTTGAAAAAGTGTTTAAATATTTTTTGTTGCTAATTTAGTTGTTTATGAATATCGTTTTTAGTTACAGATATTTTTTTTTATTACAGATCCATTGCTCATCTGTCCTTATTATTTGGGCAGTTCATTCCTGGTTTAGCTGCAGGTGCAAGAATTTTTCAAGTAACCAAGTTTTATCTGGCATTTATTTAGATGTGAATGTACTCAGAAACTAAATACTATTTTAAAGTACATGAATTCATCTCCAGAGATACCTTTGAAAGGAGTGAAAATAATTGAGCTTTTTGGGGAAGTACAATTTTGAGATGTTACTTTTAGATATCCATCAAGACCTAATCAGGTTAATCTGGTCACTTTTAAAATTAAACTATTTTATTTCAGGCTCTTTGAAATATGAATATCTATTGTAATATTGTTATTTATGAAGGTTTGTAAAATATATCATTCTTGATATTTAATATTGAACTTTTTAAAATGAATGTATTGTAGATCATACTAAATTCTCCTCTTTTTTCAAANTCTCCCCTTTTTTTCAAAATTGATATTTGGTTTCCATTTATTTATTGTTTTGTGGACAGTTATGAATTTAAAGTAAATAGTTAAAAAATATTCCTGGTTGTTACAACTCATTGTAACATATACTACAATGCTGTGAAAACAAAATTGAAGTGTTGTAATATATGTTAAAATGAGTTGTAACACTGGTCTTTTATTTTCTTCTTTACTTCGTTACTTTCATTAATCATATTTTCTTGTAGATTCTATTCATTTATACTAAAAAATAGCATTTTTCATAAGAAATTTGCTGAAATTATCTTTCAAATAACAAAGAGTTGTAAAAGAATTTTTTCTTACCAGAGAAAGTAGTTTGATACATTCTATTTGCGCATAAACGAAAATTTAAAATGAGATTTTTGAATTATTGTGTTATTTTTGTCTTATTGAAGTATTTATTATGTTTTAATAAATTAAAACATATCAAGGTTCATTTTAGCTTACTGCATTAGTTTCAACATTAAAAAGCTAAATTTGATGTATTCCTTTAAAAAAATAAGAATATTTGTTTTATTTTTAGAACTTAAAATTAAAAGGAAACTGATTTATATAATTCCATGATATTTCTTCTATAAATTTAAGTAAAGAAATTGATCATTTTTGGTAATAAATAGTATAATGGAAAAAATTCTTATTTATTGTATTAAATTTTTTTATCTATGTATTAAATTTTTTTATCTAGTAATTTTATTGATGGTTTATTGATTATAGTAGATTAAAAGCAATAATTTTATTTTTAACATATCCATTATAGGCTGTTTTGTTACATTTTGAATACACTGTTGTCATTAATATTTAAGTTAGCCATTTCTTTTGGATCAAAATCTCAAGTAATTTTCCCAAAATTTAATGCTGGTTGACTAAATCTGGGTCTGCAAAAAGTTATAGTATTAAGGATAAGTTTCTAAAAGGGTTCTTGAAATTGAAATAGAAAGCAAAGTTTTATAAAAAATCTGTCAAATGGAGTTTATTTGGAAAATGAAAAATTTTTTCAGAAAAGTGAAATTATGTGGATATTCAACAGTTGTAAATTATGAAGTTTTCTACATTTTTTCATAATTTATAGAGTCCTTTTTATAAATACAGTGAAACCTCCTGTTATGGACACTCCTGCAAAACGGACGCCTCTCAATACGGACATATTTTTAATTCCCCGGGAATCTTCTATGAATAAACCATTACGTACATTCTCCGCGAAGCAGACACTCCCGTAACCGGACGCGGACAGTCATTTTGGTCCTTAAACGTTGTTTTTTATCTCTACAAACTGGACACTACTTTTTCTAAATAAATTGCAAGCTAAACAAATTCAACTTTTCACCATTTCTAAAGCATGTAAATAAAACTTCTTGCCTTATCCATAACTAAAAATATTGTTAAGCTATTTCACCAGCAAAAAATCAATCTTTCTCCTGTCACCTTGCCTTATCTTTGTAAAGAAAGGAGAGAAAATGGTACTGCACTCCTGAAATAATTCTGACATCGGCATCTTTTGATCTTTTCATCTGGACCACACAGGTTATGAGACCCCTCAAGTTGAAATTGCTTTTCTCAATGCTTCTTCCCCATTGAAAATTTCTTTAATTTTCTTATCAATTTGAAGACTGTATTTAACACAACTGGGGTAAAAAAAAAAGAAAACAGAAATATAATCTTTGAGATGTTTATATAAATGAAACATTTATTCAGACACTTGATAGCTGATCAATTGTGAATAATCATCTCCATAGGTCCTCATGACTTACAGGTATGCATTACTTTTTTTTCTCTGAATCATAGGAGGTTTATTTTCCAAGAAGGTATTAACCATGTTCCCTATCAAATGATAAGTAGGTGTAAGGGGATGTGCACCTAATAATTGAAACGGACTGAGGACAGTACGCTCCCAGGGTTCCCACGGTCCTTGAGAGTCCT